ACATTATACAACCAAACATAGACACGCTCTAAGATTCAGCGACAACCACAACCATGAACAAATTAGTTACCAACCTTGAGTCTCCCTAACATCTCAAGCACCTCTACGCTTGTCACAGTTATCCTAGCCTTCCACAGCTAACTCTTTCGAGTAGAATTGGCCCCTGGCCATTTTTACCCAGAGCCCCGACACTACTGCATCAGCCCTCGACCATTTTTACCCAAGGCCCCGATGACTTCACCATCTATCAGCCCTTGACCATTTTTACCTAAGGCCCCAATAGTTTTCCTTCTACAAGACTCCTCGCATCGACCCTCGACCATTTTTACCCGAGACCTCGATACTCAATTAGTGACGTATCAGCCCCCGACCATTTATACCCGAGCCCCTGACACTCACCCATTCACTTTCCCCAGGAATCCAACGTTCCTTGTCATAACCAACTTCACATCAACCCCTAGTCTGCGAACAGGGTTCGAAAATATGCTTCAATAACACCCACATCTCATAAGAAAATAATATGACTCAGACCAGCACGCTCACATCATAAAGAAACATTTATATAAACTATACAAGCACGCTCACATCATAAGAAAGCATAATCACAATAATTCTATTATAACGTGCGTCCTTTGTAAACACCCATCATCCCACAACAATTCTCAGCAGTTTAGCAAGGCAGAAATTACACCATTATCACCGACAAATATTCAACACTACACCAAGTATACAGATTAACACAAACGAGAGTTCCCTGGCACAATAGGGTATCAAAATCAATATTAAACATCACAAAACAGCACATTAGAAACCATCTAACACACATTAACGCACGCACACGCCCCTTGTCTACTTACTTTGTCATGTCTCAAAACTCTCACAAGAGTCCTACTTGCTACTAAGCCATGCCTCATGCATCAATAATCTCGTAACTCGAAACCAGCTCCGAATAAGGATGGGTCAACACCAAGTGTCGCCGGAACAAAGAAACCTTCACGTGTCTACTATTGTTGGCGTTAGGTCGTCGGTGGCTACAACAACAACGCCGAAAGACAAGAGCCGTCGAGTAGAAAGCGGTTCGTGGCCTCCAAACGTCGCTGTTGAACCACTAATCGACGCGAGTCCGACACGGTGACTGGATCTGATTGCTTGTGGCTGGGCTTTCTCGAGAAAAAAAACTTTTGGAGGAACTTTAATGTTGCGCCACCACAGATCTGGTACAAGTCGCCACAGACCGGAAGGATGTGTCACTACTACTAGGAAACACGCCGACCGAATGCCGCGTCTACAACGGGTTCGTGGTGCTGTCGCGGGTTGCTGAGAAAGAATGCCGTCATTGCTTGTCAAAGACCGCCGAAGGGAGGTGCTGGCCGGCGGGGACGGAACCACCGGGGGGCGGGGGCGGCTAGGGTTAGATGAAGGAGAAGAAGATGACTTTTCTTTAGGCTTTGTTTTATTTAAAAAAAAAAACAATACCTTTTCTTTGATATCTTTTTTTTTTATCAAAGAGGGATGGGACAACTAAAACAAAACAAAGAAGAATGGGCAAGGCCTAAAAATAGTTGAGATTCTTCTTAATAATTTTATATAAAAATAAAAGCCGATTTGGAAAAATTAATTTAAGAGGTTAACTTAAGTTTGAAACTCAATAATAAAAACCAAAAGAGAAATTAAATTACCAACTCTTGGAATAGGATTTAATTAAAAACCTCTTCCCAAAATTCTAAAACTTAATTTCTCTTTATCCAACAAACGAAACTTAAATTCTAATTTACCCGAATTTTGAATGTTGAAAATTAGAAAATCCAATAATTAAATTTTCAACTTAGGGGGAAAATCCAAAGTCACAATTTAAATCCTAAAATAAACTAGCAAGAGAATGCGGGGCGTTACACATAGACTTTCGCCTTTTGAGTCACCTAGCCCAACCTTAACTTGTTCCATCGCTTGGCTCTGTCCCGCTGAGAAAGCTCAACGCTAATCGAAGCTGTGCCATGACAGAATAACACTAAAGCTTGAATAACAAACACAAATTCATTACCTATGCGTAATGTGTGTAAATAGGAAGCAGAGACAAAAAGCAATTATCCGAGCATTGAGAAAAAAAGCCTTCATAAAAAGCTCACTAGCCCAAGAAAAGGCACTAGCACAAGCATCCTTCCCAGCGTTCTATTGATAACAGGGAGCAAACCCTGTCAGAAAACTCCAAGGTTTCCTCCCCTTGCCAATTTTGAGAACTTAAAAGAATCTTCACTCGTGCCCATTCCTACAACGGCATTACCTTTATTGGGGGGCGGGGTCTTCGATTGAAATTTTTCATGATCTTCGAGTGAGACACCCTTGACGTCGCCCAATACTTAACACTCAAAGTACATATCCCTCAGGGGGGACAGCTCAATCATGGGGATATGGGGGGACGAAGAAGCTACAGGGCACTTTCTGACGTCGGTACACACTGCCTGGGGCGTGCGCGTCTTGTCCTCTAGAGACACTCCCCGCCATCATCGCTAGGATCGGGGTCGCGACCCCACCTTATGAGATCTTTGAGGGCCCATCGAATCATATGATAAGGGTTGGCTACCCCCTAGGGCAACATCCACTACAACAATGTGCTACCTTGACGATCTCGAAACATCACCTTTGGGTAGTCGAACCCGCAACCTTATTTTGCCGGACGGCGTGCTGCCTAGTACTCTTGAATGTGGTTGGACGAAGCAGCATCTCTCCTGTGACCCAGAAGAACTTGAAAATACCGTTTCTGAGGACTCAGAGTGGCGCAACCTGCCAAAACCAACCTTGTCTACCTTATAAGCTCGGGAAGAGGATCAATTAAAGCTGAAACACGTTCGAAGTAATAAATAGAAAGACCAAAGGTGATAGATCGCAAAGGAAGAAGTAAGGGAGATGAGAGAACGATAATCTTACTCAGTCTACTAAATTCCATAGAGACGTCGCAGTAAAGGGTGCCTCAATAGTGGTCATCAACCAATTTCCAAACACATAAAACCACCTCTGCTTCCAGTGTTTTATGAAGGCCCATTGACTATTGACGTAAAGCCATTTATCATCACATCACAAGGCCATTCACCGACTTGACCAACCCGGAAGACTACTTAAATAGAAACGGCCAAGGGCTTTAGATGACCTCCTCACCGTGAGTGTGGCTAACATTTGATCTACAGTAAGAACGGTAGTTCTATCCTCAAAAAATCGCCACCAACGATACAAAAAGCCCATTGTAGTACCCCAACCGTTGGATGCCAGTTAGGTAGGGGTTAAATTCACAACATCAAGGAATAGTTGGAAAAAAGGGTGCAAGAGTACTCGAACACCATGTTCGAACATATGAGGATAAAATATGACACAACGTACAGGAGACTTATCAACAATCTCCCCCTCAACTAAAATCCTAAGTTCAATGTTCTTAAGGATTGAAAAGTTGTACCTAAAGATCTCCAACAGCTCAACTAGACAGTCCGAATGACCATAATCGGAGGTGTCCTCACTACCTTATGAGGAATTAGAACGTTTACGACTATGGCGACGGAACAAACCCTATAACCTTCTTGAGGGTCCCGTGAAGATGAAGGCCTCGGGGCGGGGTTAGTGGTCTTAATCCTAGACATTTTGAAAACAAGGGCGCAAAAATAAAAAAATATGGAAAACAATGAGGGACTGAGGGTTACCTAGACAGCGAAGAAGTTATCGATCGTGGAAAAAAGTGCACACGAAACGTTGTGGAGACTCAACCCTAAGGCGATTAGGTATGCGATAAGACAAAGACGAAAATCATTTCGAAATCGCATGATTGTCGGGATATTTATCCCGTACTAGTGGGACGAGTTCAAAAAAAGAAAAAGAGAAGCCCCCAATAGCGTGGAAGGATGGACTGGCTATTTGACTTCGGGATAAACGAATCATCGAGTATCGTCAAAGTCAGGGGTGGGATTACTGGTCTTGATGACATCATCTTTACTGACCCCACCCACATCATCTAAAATAAACGTCATCTTCATCCGCACGTGTAAAACACAAGACAAATACGGTCCAATTTAACCCCTTCAAGCGGATGACGAACTAGATAGTAACTGTCCGAACTCGTCTCCACGACCAGGCACACATATGCACCTAATGCGACAGTAAAATAAGAATGGGTAGTGGGCTTTGACCGACGGCCCACCTACCTCCAACGCCTATCCCCTAAGCACTATAATTACCTAGTGATAAGAAGTGTAAAGGTACGTGAGAGAATTTCCGAAAAGAGTGAGATTACGAGATAACATAAATACTGACAAAAGCTTCGAAGTGCTAACTCTGTTTTGCAGGAGACAATCTTGGAGTGTTCTCGAATACTCAATTGTGATTATCAGAACATTTTCGGAAAGAAAATTTATCAAATGTTTGATTTAAAAGTTATTTATAGATCAAAATCTTCCATTCCTTGGTGATTTTTTGGTTCCTACCATTCGACTCGTGATCTCGTCTAAGATCTTACATGAACCATCCAAATTCCAAAAGTCTAGGAAACGTTTATTTTTGTGTGCTAAAAAAACAAAAAGAAATCAATAAATTCAATAAGAGAAGGTAATTCTGCCGTGGAAAACTTTGAATTATTATATTTCAAAATATGTTTGTAAAAATAAGTTTCTTTTTGCTTCCCTTGTATTTATTAATTTTGGAAACTAGGAACATAGAAAAACAAAGCAAACTAGGTGTTTGATGCAAAAATTTGCTAGGGCACGGATGACGACTTGGAAGGTCGGCTAGCCACACTTAGAGCAACTCTTGGGGTACTTGCAAGCAGGTAAGCCACTCCGACGCCCAAGTTAGTATTTAATCCGAGCTTAACATATCAGCGTCAAACATATTCCATATCATGGCCTATGGGTGAGTGGTGTATTTATAGCGGTTGACGGGGTAGATAACCATCCCATCAGGGTATTCCTCTGCTCGAGCAAGGCTCTCCCGAGCGACCTCCGATCTCTGCTATTGATCGGTCTGTTCCCTATTGAAGTAGGTGAGGCCTAACACATCACTTGTATGCTTACGTTGTCGAGGCCGACCTGTTAGATCGGCTCTTCCAGCTTTGCTTGAACAGGTCGATTATGTGCAGTTTAACCCCCAACAGTGGCCCCCTCTCAAGTAGGGTGACGGGTCATTCACTTGAGAAACGTTAATAGGGGGCCCAAACGACCTGCTTTTGACTTTTTCTCCAAGCTACGATGGGTGAGGTGGACCAATCGAGGCTCTGACAGAGACGTTAAATAGCCGCCTAAGAGTTTCAAGTCGGACGTGACTCTCGAGGTGGTATTGAGCACCAAACCGTCGCTTCGGCCCGTAATCCCAACCATCTGCAGAGGGACACGTGTACGGCGAGGATTTCACCCTTTTGTGTATATATATGCTCGAGTACTTCTCCTCAATTCCATGCTTCCAAGATTTTTACTATTCTCACGCCGAGGTTAGTAGTGAAGGGATGTGAATCCCGGAGTGGAAGCGGACCATTGTTCGTGATATTTGGGTAATAAAATCAAAATGTGCAAAAAGGAAAATACAAAGGAAAACATTACCTTTGAAGAATGTTTCTTCAACGGTTTCCACCCGAACACCACCACCGTGTCTTCCTCGCTCTCCTCTTGGGTCTCGAGACCGTGCTTGTGGGAGCACCTCGTTTGGAATGAGAGGGAGTATTGAGAGAGCTTGAGAGAGATGGGATAATTAATATATATATATATATATATTAATTAATAATAATAATTAATATATATATAAATCAAATAAATAATTAACACTTAATTATTCATTATAAAATTAGAATCATATTCTAAAACATTTCTCTCGCATAACCTATAGTTGTAATGTACATCTTATGCACATTATTTTTAACCTATAGTTTTAATATCAATCATATTAATATTAATTTTATTTGAATCTCATTCAAATGATTTCTCTCATAATATATAGTTTTAATTTAGAATTAACTATATATTATAACGTATCAATATACATATAATCCCTTAAGAAATTTGAACAGTTCAAATTCTTCCAAAAACTTGATCCTCTTTTTACCCGTTCTGAGCTAGCAAGGGGACATAATGGACCTACATATCCGAAGCTCCAACGATACGAGTTTAATTGGTCAAACTCATTGACCGAGTTAATCAACATTCGTTAACTACGCGTCACTCCACTAAAGACCCGCAGTTGCACTCTTCTCACTGCATAATGTTTTTGTGTCCATGGATATACGACCATAAATGACGAATCAATCCTTCACGAGTGCTCGTAACTCAAGTTGGGTCAAATTACCGTTTTACCCTTGAGTTACATCTTACTCCTTAAATGCCACTGATCCTCTAATAAACAACCCGGTTATGGTCCGACCAATAACCGGAAGTCCCTCTCGGGCCAATAAGAGGGTGGGACGCCTTGTTC